GAGCTTCCAAGTCGAAGAAATCCTCCAATTCCACTCCAAGAATGCCCTCAAATCGCCCTCTCTTTCTTTGGTTCGTCCCTTGGGTGTTTGGGATCCAAAACCCAGCTCTCCCTTGCAAAAACGCACAAAACAGGCTTTTAACAGCCTGTGTCCGCGATCCCCGGTCAGAATACCCGGTCGGGTATTTAGGGAACCGGTCGGGTATCAACAAAATGCTCCGGGTCAGTATTCTGGGCAAAAGGGAAAATACCCGGTCGGGTATTTTTAGTACCGGTCGGGTATTTTTGGTTCACGACCGGGGGGCCTTCTGATGCTGCCAAAAATCCCCTATCAGATGGCCAAAATACCCTGTAGGGTATTATGGTCGGGTATTTTGCAGTTCCGGGTCCCCTATCTTTGATTCTTCGTTTCTCCCTCGTTCGGACTCCAAATCAGTGCCGTTTGATCCCAGACGCTCGTAGTCTCGTCCTCTTTCTTCTCATGATAAGATTACATGATTATATGGTCACAAACTGAGGTAGAAATCCCTTCTTCTTCAAGTCATACCCGAGTTTCTTCCCACGAGTCGCCAGTTGATCTCTGATTGACTTGAAACTTGCGCCTACGCTTCACTTTATGTGCTAGGATCTGAAATGTGACAAAGGAACACAACCTAGCGTAAAATAGGCCAAAGAAGCAATAATGCAAGCTTAAAATATCAAGAAACAAAGGGGAAAACATGTGCAAATATCGAGTCATCATTTGCCTCACTAGCTATTGATACATTTTGATGGTTATCCAGTCAAACATCACTTTGCTTAAGAGAATAGGCTAAGCCTTCCGGTCTCTTGTCGAGGACATGCTAGGTGGCAAGTGATAGTATTGGTTCGCATCTAACCAACAAGTTATCATAAGTTTTTCCCCTTTTACAAATGATTTTGGTAAGAAACCTAACATATGAGAATATCAGAGTGTGCTGCATACATCCCAATTGCTCCGCCAAAGTATCTTAAGTTGATTCTCGTTGGAAATTGAGAATTTGAGAATTAAGTATCCAAAGTAAGATTACAATTCCAGAAGAACACATGTGTCTGATAGCTGTGAAAGCGAAGAGATTTCAAAACATATTGGACTACAATAATGAAACCGTAATGAAGTCATTGTTGACGAAATTTGTTGTACTTTAGTGCTGAATATGATATATACAAGTGAGGATCAAGAGTAAAACTCTATTGCTTCATGCAAATGATGATGTTATTGGCCAATATAGAAAGAAATTATGAAACTTGCTCAAAGAGCATAATGTTTAAGGACCATAAGTCCTTACACCTGAAAAGGATAAAAATAGCGGGATACAAACAAATTTTTGTGCTATTGAAAAGTATGAAATTTTGATAGATATACCATAATATTTTGCAATGGGTTTCTCGAAGAGACCTATCATTGTTTGAGAGGAGTTATGCTCCCCTATGGTGGATGCAACTAATTTTTCAAATCAATGTTTAAATCAATGTATGAAAATTATTGTGATAGCCTATTTGTTTGAATTTATGAAAATGTTATATATATTTGAAACTCCCAGAAGGATTAATTACTCCCAAAAGGATTAATTTACCTGAAGTAAACAAGTTCTCGAGAACATATATCGGTAGACTAAGAATATCCCCGGTATGGGTTGAGACAATATAGGCGAATGTGAAATACTCGTCTAAGCGAACACTTACAACAGTAGGGTGGATGAACCTTAAAAGGTTAAATCCAGATAGAGTGCATTAGAGCATTTGCATTGTGCATATATAGTTGTGTTGTCTGTATGTGCTTCAAGGATTTTAAATTCTTGGTTTATGTGTTGTGTTTACTTTAAAGTATGATATGTGTTTTATGAGTGTTCTTTGTCGAGTTCATATTGTTTCTATGATGTGAGTTTTGTTATTATCTTTCGTTATATGAAAGAACTGCTTGCATCAATTCTTTGTGACGATCTCATATTATGTTGATGATATGAATATTATTGGAGCTCCTGAAGAGTTTTCTAAAACAGTAGATTGCTTAGAGACATAAGTTAAATTGAAGGATTTAAGATCCTTTTATAGGCAAGGAAGGTCACGTTGAAAAAGTGGAAAAGTAATTTTGCATGAACAAATTATGTTCATCAAATAACATTCGGATCCTAAGATCACTATAAATGACCAAAGATCCATTTAGGCATCAAGAAAGAAGTGAAACATGAAGTCCTGAAGTACTATATGTTGATGTACTACGTCATGAAGTACCATATGTTGATGCATTAGAGCACCATACAAAATATCATTTTGGTGTTGATAATATTAGCAAAATACAATGTTTCCCTCAATGGAACGGTGAAAATACTTTGTTACCTTCATGAACAATATATGCGATTGTTCTATTATGGTATTATCAAAGGGATATTTGGTGAACTATATATCCAAATCCTATATACCATTTGATCCTCATATTGGTTGATCGGAGACGAGTTACCTCGTACATATGGTGATATAACTGTTTCATAGAAAAACAAAACAAACTATAATAGGCAAGTCCTGAATGTACTTCGTTACACATTGTGATCCACCATATTTAAAGGACTTGTGGTTGTGAACTATTTCCAAAGGAAATTATCATGACGATCATGTATGAAGAAAATCTAAAGATCATGCATCAAATTGACAATCTAGAAGATTGTTCACTAACTCACTCCCGACAACAATCTTTATAAAAGTTGTTCGTAAAATTTGAGTTCAACGACTCAAAGATCTGAAGTGATGTGGTCATGAGGGGGAGCATATACGCAGTGCACTCTTTTTCCCTTAACCATGGTTTTTTCCCACAGGGTTTTCTTGGTAGGGTTTTAATGCGGCAGTATGAGATAACGTAATGCAATCTAGTGGTCATCCAAGGGGGAGTATTATGTAATTATTGGTATATGGATGACTAATGACCTACCACATTAGATGCTCACTTGGGAGTTACATATCACCCCTATTCCTACATCATTATCTCTCATTCATATATGCATTGATATAAGGATGTAGTGGTTATCAAAGTGTGTCTATAAATAGAGCACACTATTGTATGAAAAGTGACGAATAAACAAGAAGAACTCTTCCCCTCTCTTCTCTTGTGTCTTTCCCTCTCTAATCTTCTATTGTAGTTATTTATATTTTCCATTAGTTATTTATATTTTTCATTAGTTTCATAACATTTTTGCTTTATATATATTAATAAAGGACTAGGTGTTCTTAAGAAGATCCTTGGCATAAAGATTTGAAATTTCATTCCTATTATTGAATTTATTATGGAATATCGAAAGAAAGGACTAAAAAACAAAAAACAAAAAAGATAAGAATTAGGACTAGAGATAGCAAGACTAGAAAGTTATAGCTCCCATGCTAGAGCACATTCAGGAAATACATCAGGAGAGCATTGTTGTTTCACCAGTACTGTTTAAAGAAACATGAAGAAGCTTAGTACATGTCAATGATCCATATGCAAGTTGAATGGGAGGCTTGACGCATATGTTGATCTTCCAATTTAGGAAGGAACAAAATGTGGAAAATATGAAATGAGAAAGCCTCCTTTGTTGTTGATCATTTTCTTCAATCAGTCTGTTACAAAAGCAGAAGCCTCATATGTTGATCAGATTGGCCAAATTTTGACAACTTCATTGACTTCCCCTCTAATTTAACATCATATTATTCTCCTTGGCATTCTTCAATCGTGTTGACCAAGCACATATACTATACAATTAGGCATACACCTCTTTAAGTTTAAACCCACTACGTAATCGTTTGGAACTCGTTGGCCACGTGTCTCCAAACAAATAAACCAACTGCACTTTTCAACACAACTATATAATGCACAGATTTGGTTTTAGTCAAAGCTATCTGTCCCTCGATGACCTTTCCCTGTCTCTGCTTTAATCAAGGAACTGAAGTTAGTGCTTCTTCTTCTCGTTTACCTTTATGGCTGCTTAGTTTGTTTATTTGTTGAATTCAGACCACTTCATCAACTCCATTACCACATGAATTCAACATTGTTTCTGTCAGCAAAAAAATTTGGGTTAATGTCAAGATTGGTTATTGGGTTTACTAATACGTGTCATGTTTAGTCACTGAAAAAAATTAATATCAATTTTGATCACTCAAATTAGTAAAACTAAAAACGGTCTATGTTTAGTCACTCTTCGTTACTTCCCGTTAACACCGTCAGTCAAGTGCTGACGTGGCTAACAGAAGTGTTGACTCACCCAATTTTAACATGCCACATCACCAAACTCGACCCGCCACGTCACTCAACCAACCACCTCAGTTTTTCCTTCAATTATCTTACTATCGCTGGTGATTTCTCCTTCGTTCCCCGCGGGGCGTAGCCTTACTCCGGCAAATAGTTCTAGACTGAGATGAAGAGGGCAAAAGCAGAGAAAAAAGGACTTCACAGGTCAAAAACTGAAAATCAAGTCTAGTAGAGCTAATGACAACAACGTCGTAGCAAGAACGTGGTGGTTGCCGACTGGAAAGGGGGCGGAAAAGCTTGCCGGATTTGGCTATTTCCATGGGCTCAAATGAATTTATTTGATTATTGTTGCGCTGGACCCACAACTCAATCTTCAATTTGCTTCTCCACTCCAACTATCTTTCAACTGCGAAGCAGTGGCTTTCAATCTCAACCAAAACCAACAAACAAAAACAATCTTGTTCCTCATCAAGATTTGGACCAAATTGGGAGGCAGAGCGGCGGGAAAATTCTCAATGATCCCAATGTTATCGCTGGCATCAAGAAAGCATGGATTTTTCAGGGAACCCAGGTCGAGGTGCTCACCGGAGAGATTGTTAGATTGGAGTTCGAGTCTTCCTTGCTGCTCTCAACTTCTCATCCACAAGCTTAACTTGAGCCCTTTTCTTGTCCTTCCAAGTATACCTTTGGAGCTGTCTTCTTCATTGATCGTTCCTCTCCCATACAATCGCACACACAATGAGCTCTTTAAATACTTGTTGCTTCTCATGGTTGCAATGGCCCTAGTCTTGAGCATCAACGCATTACCAGGACCAGAGGATGAAGAAGAACTACAAGAGGATAAAGAAATTTCAGCCAACATCCTGACCGGATCTGCTGAACATGTTGGGAACAATGGCAGCCATGTCGTTAGTCGGTTTCTTGCTCAAAAGAGAAAGATGCCAGCTAAGCGTTTGAACTGCAACAAGTTTCCCAGGATATGCTTTGCCAGGAGAAGTCCGGGGTCTCATTGTTGCAAGAAGAAGTGTGTCGATATTTTGAAAGAGCATCTCAACTGTGGGAGATGTGGGAATAAGTGCAAGTACAATGAGACCTGCTGTAATGGCAAATGTGTGAACCCATTTTTCAATAGGTTGCATTGTGGAGGCTGTAACAAATCGGTGTGCTGGCAATGGCAAGGGGAGTTTCTCTGCGTTTGGGCTCTGCTACTACGCTTAGGACAGGAGAGATGGAAGTAGCATATACATTGAATTGTAGCAGGACAAACCATGATATTACCTTTCCTATTCACATTCTTTTGGTGAAGAGAATACAAATATTAAAGGGTTTATTATGTCATCCGAGCAGTTCATTTTCAGCATTTAATGTGAGGCAACTCATGTTTTACAAACAAATTTCAGCTGTACAAGGAACTTTCTTTCTCATTCATTCATCTGTTCCCCATCTATAGGAGTTAGAAATAACTTAAATAAGGTTTGGAATATGTTCGATCACTTAACAATGCTACTCTCATCTGCATGATTCATGGACAAAATACAGGACAACACAGAGGTTCACCTTACTTGATTGAGTTAGTTCCTTCCTTGTGACTGAAGGTTTCCCCTGACATAATTAGATTATATATGTTCATTTCTCCTCAAATGAACCATTGGATTAACCTTCACCTGCAATACCAGTCGCCCCATTTGGCAACTGGTTGGAAGTGGTGGTGGAGTTTAAGTAAGGAGAGTACGTCGAAGCAGGGCTGCCTCGTGAATATCGGTTCTAGTTTGCCGTGCTATTTCTTGTTGCCTTGCGTGCCTTCCTGCCCTGTAAACAGAACAGAGCAAACACAAAATCTGAATTCAGCAAGCAATCGAAAGTTCGAAACCAGAACAGCAGGTAGTATATACAGCAGTCAGACTCCAGCAATGAAGCAAGCATGTAATGCATTTCAAGTTTTAGGCAAACAAAGAAGTCACCTTTCCCATGCACTTCTCTAAATGAGGAGCAAACCTCCCAGCGGCAACAGATCGCCCACAATTCATGCAGTCGAATACATCATTAGCAACAGGTGGATGCGTCTGTCCAAAGATATCCATCACATACTTTCCATTCGTTTCAGCAGCCACATCGGCCACACTTGCCCGCGCTTCAGCTGACAGCTTCAACTCTTCTTCCTCTTCCTCTAGGTTGCGATCTAGCCCTAGCTTTGCTATCCTATGACACTCAGATGCCACATCTGCTATTATGGAATTCAGCAGGTTCCCAAACAATTGGGAGGACAACTGTTTTATGCATAGCCAAAAAGAAACAAACTTCACAAGCTTCCCATTATCTGAAATAATGTCTCCATTCCAAGGAAGTATGAAAATCGGGTGTAATCCAAGGAAAAGGCTCTAATTTTTTGTCATCATTCGAGTTGAAAGTTGAAAAAACGAAAAGGGTGAAAGCAATGCTAGACATACAAACAACAGATCACTATTTAAATCTGATTAGGTTAGAAAGTTGAAGACTTTACACAATCCATGGATGGAAGAAAAGAAATACCTGTGTATGAAGAGAAATACCATCCTCATTAGGCCCTGACATGAGGGAATACGAGTTTCTGACTGGGCCCAGGTCTGGGATGGATGCTTCCTGCAGAGAAATCGGACAAAATCAAATTTGGAATCAGTGACCCACGACACCGATTCAGCTGTTGGGGAATGGACGATCGAGATTGCGATTCGCGAGTCAAGGAATTAGCACCTTACAAGAACGAGGCTGAATCCAGCCGTGATAATAATTTCTGAAATGGGGTTTCTGGATCGAATCTTCGCTTTCCGCAGGATAGCACGTCGGCGAAGGTGGTCGGGTAAATTGCTGGCGACAGTGGGGCTGGTGGAGTGGGTATATCGGGCAAAGTCCCTTCGTTTATTGGTTGTATGGCGGTCGATCGTACTGCGTATACAACTGCATCAGTTGTTCCGACTTCCGATTGGGTAGGGCGACTAGCTCTCTCACTGTGTTTCCTGGCTGGAGAACGACAGTCGAACCGGGTCAGGTCGGGTCAGTTCATAGGTTGGAAAAGAGTGGTCCGGTGGTTAGTTGATTGGTTCAGCCCAGCCCAGCTCACTATAGCACTCCTTGGCCCGCCAGATTATGAATTTTTATCAGGTTTGGAGTATCGTTGGGTCGGGCCTAATAGTAACCCTTTCATTTTTCAGTTGTTTTCCCCCATAACCCTTACCTTTTAAATGTTAGTAAAATATGTTTATTTTTTATTTTAACAAGTACAATCATTAACTCCAAGATGAGAGGATGCCTTATAATATATTAAAGATTCGATTAAAATTGGGTGCCCTTTACCTCTCCGTTTTGAACCAAAAAATAAATGAAAGAGTTATAAAGTAAATACTTCATTCAATGGGGAATTCTAGCGTATTCAGGGTGAAATTCGGGTCACCGTATGTCTTGAGTAAGAAAACGCTATTCAGAATTTGAATTGACTGATCTTTCAGACATGATACTATACTCTAACTCTTAAATATCAAAATCTAGGTCTAAATTCTCTTAATCTTATACCCCAATATCAATTTAATTAGAAACAATAATCGACGGTTATGATTCGTCCAAATATAGGAAAAAAAAATCAATGCACCATCTTATGTTTTATAGTTTATGATTTAGATAATTAGGACTTAGGATTCACTCATTAAGAGTTAGGGTATAGTATTATGCCCAAATTTTTTTATAACCTGCGAATTTGAAGGTCTGATACATGAAACTAAAAACCATTTATTTATAGTCTGTGTTCATCTCTATGAGTTAACCCTTATCCCCATCCACATAATATCAACACAATTCTATCTATGACCATTTAACCAATAGGTTACATATTAGAAAGCAAATAACAAAACTATAGCATATAGATAAAGATGTTCGCAACCACCAAACAATAAATCCACCATTCATTAATGCTCAAGCTTTCTAGCATACAATTAGATGGAGTTTATCTTGACCAAAACATAAACATATAGTATGTGGTTTAGATTCAATCATTAAGCTAATTATTTATCAAGTTTCTTAACTTAATAGGAATCATTAGATTAATCAAGAAGAAGAAACTTAAAAGAGAAATGTTGATATTCTAAATTAATAATTAGTTTTATAAGTATTTAAAAGATAGAAATGTGAAATCTCTCACTCTTTCTCTACCACATTCAAACCATGTCGGAACCTCCCATTTTGTACCTTTTTATTTTCTCACGCCGTCCGACACATTCGCTTCTTTTCAAAATGAATTTTTGGTTTCCCTATTTCCACTTCCTTCATAGTTCATATACCATTTTCAGACAGGACATATTTGGATTAGACGAAGTTGATATCGTTAATCACAGAGAATAGATTCGATAACCGTTGTTGTTGCTTCGTATATGTCTGCCATCTTATTCTTCCGCTACAGTCGATGTCAACGTCTGGAAGCTTCATTTATTAACTGTTGATATTCATACTTTAGTGTTAATTGCTTCAGTGGTGGTTCGTTCATTGGATGCTTCCCATTCATAAGACTAAGAGATATATATGGTTAACGATTTTGCTTATGTTGGCAACGTTTCAATTTGTAGATTATTAACAATACATCATTTCATTGTTAACAGTATAATCCAATATCACAGTTGTCTATAATGTTGTTTGGTCATATTATTGATGTTCATGATATTATTAATAAATTATTTTATAAATGAACATTTATGTTGGTTATGATAATGTTAACATGACACAAAATGGAATAGGTACTAACTCGTATAATTAAAACTAATATAATAATTGTTAAAAATAACTCTATTGTTGTTAAAAATACATGTTTGTTTGATAAATGGCTCTATGGTTGGGATTTTATAGATTTTTTTATGTCTGGATTTTGTATCGTAATCCAAATCATATTAAAATTTTATTTTAATATGGCCTAATAAAACCGTTAGATTAATCTAAAGGCCAAAATTAGATTGAAGTAAATTGTAATCTACGATTAGTACCATATATATTATCGAAGCAAAAATGATTTTGGAATCTTCAAGATTGGGAATTTTATTAGAATAATGATAACTTACTTTTTCATTCATGTGTAGCTTGGTTTGATAATTGGATTTATGGAAAACACACCATCTTTTTGTTGTTTGACAAGTGAAAATAGAGAAGATTGGGCGTGGAGACGAACGTGCCATGTCACTGCCAAATCAACATAAAATATTTAAAATAATTCACAATTTCCACACATTCCCTGATTTTAAATTATTATAAATTAAAAAAAATCATCTAATACCTTAGTTAAACCAATTATAAAAATGAAAAAATTAAATATTTATCAGATTTTCTGACTTGGCAGTGACGTGGCACGTTGACCGTTAGTCAACGCGTTTGACCGTCCAAGTTAACGGTCAAACATCGGGTTTAGCCAAATTATTTATTTTGGTGTATAGTTCGGGCTAGGATGTTATAGATCGAAAAGATTGGCTAGGATGTTTATTTTCGTTGTAGAAGCTGTTAGAGAAACCAAAAAATTACCTAGTGCGAAGATTCAGAGTGAGCATACTTAACATGAGTCAAGTGCTCGAGGCATAAAAGAAAAATCAAATAAGTATTTTGTGCACTGCGGAAGTTATACTTAAAAGTTGAGCCTTAAGATACCTCATTGTTAACTTCAGTATTAATATTTTAATGTGAAAGTAGAGGTAGACAAAACAATGGGCAATGAAGAGCAAATTGATCTAAAATATGCTCAATACGTGGGAGCTCACTTTGAAGACCAAATGTTAAAGCAACTTTGTGCCTTCATGTTGCATCTTGTTCTCCCTAAAATCCATAGCATATTTTGATGCGAAACAAAAGCTTTTAATTATTCTCCCAAAAGAAACATAGGGAAAGGCAATTAGATATAAAAAAAGATAATACCACCATCTATATCTTAAACACTTGGGGAGATGAGCCAGCTTGAAGATGAGAGTCAAAGACATTATCAAAAAGGGGGTTCATTGTGAGAAATCCAATAAGAGCCGTAAATGGAAAAAAAAATGTTTCCTAGTCAATTAGATAGCCAAAAGCAAGAGATATAGACAATTTTTTTTATAACTTGCGAATTTGAAGGTCTGATACATGAAACTAAAAACCATTTATTTATAGTCTGTGTTCATCTCTATGAGTTAACCCTTATCCCCATCCACACAATATCAACACAATTCTATCTATGACCATTTAACCAATAGGTTACATATTAGAAAGCAAATAACAAAACTATAGCATATAGATAAAGATGTTCGCAACCACCAAACAATAAATCCACCATTCATTAACGCTCAAGCTGTCTAGCATACAATTAGATGGAGTTTATCTTGACCAAAACATAAACATATAGTATGTGGTTTAGATTCAATCATTAAGCTAATTATTTATCAAGTTTCTTAACTTAATAGGAATCATTAGATTAATCAAGAAGAAGAAACTTAAAAGAGAAATGTTGATATTCTAAATTAATAATTAATTTTATAAGTATTTAAAAGATAAAAATGTGAAATCTCTCACTCTTTCTCTACCACATTCAAACCATGTCGGAACCTCCTATTTTGTACCTTTCTATTTTCTAACGCCGTCCGACACATTCGCTTCTTTTCAAAATGAATTTTTGGTTTCCCTATTTCCACTTCCTTCATAGTTCATATACAATTTTCAGACAGGACATATTTGGATTAGACGAAGTTGATATCGTTAATCACAGAGAATAGATTCGATAACCGTTGTTGTTGCTTCGTATATGTCTGCCATCTTATTCTTCCGCTGCAGTCGATGTCAACGTTTGGAAGTTTCATTTATTAACTGTTGATATTCATACTTTAGTGTTAATTGCTTCAGTGGTGGTTCGTTCATTGGCTGCTTCCCGTTCATAAGACTAAGAGATATATATGGTTAACGATTTTGCTTCTGTTGGCAACGTTTCAATTTGTAGATTATTAACAATACATCATTTCATTGTTAACAGTATAATCAAATATCACAGTTGTCTATAATGTTGTTTGGTCATATTATTGATGTTCATGATATTATTAATAAATTATTTTATAAATGAACATTTATGTTGGTTATGATAATGTTAACATGACACAAAATGGAATAGGTACTAACTCGTATAATTAAAACTAATATAATAATTATTAAAAATAACTCTATTGTTGTTAAAAATACATGTTTGTTTGATAAGTGGCTCTATGGTTGGGATTTTATAGATTTTTTTATGTCTGGATTTTGTATCGTAATCCAAATCATATTAAAATTTTATTTTAATATGGCCTAATAAAACCGTTAGATTAATCTAAAGGCCAAAATTAGATTGAAGTAAATTGTAATCTACGATTAGTACTATATATATTATTGAAGCAAAAATGATTTTGGAATCTTCAAGATTGGGAATTTTTTAGAATAATGATAACTTAGTTTTTCATTCATGTGTAGCTTGGTTTGATAATTGGATTTATGGAAAACACACCATCTTTTTGTTGTTTGACAAGTGAAAATAGAGAAGATTGGGCGTGGAGACGAATTCTGAAGCTTCGGCCAATTATGCAGCCGTTTATGAGGAAGCAGGGTGATGAAGGATTTTGGAATGGGAAATTGATGCCCAGCTACTCAGTGAGCGCAGTCTGGGATCTGATACGACCTGTGAAGAGCAAAAAACACTAGTCTGCTATTCTCTAGAGTAAATTCTATGTGCCGCGTTGGAGTATCATAGCTTGAATTATGGCCATGGATGCGATAGTAACCAAGGTGATGCGATGGGGTAAATTAAATGAAGATAGATTCATTTTATGCCATGCCAATAGTGAGACCTGAGATCATTTGTTTTTCGAATGTTGTTTCTCTAGGAGTATTATTAGCAGAGTTAGTATTTTTTTCAGTAGCAGCTCTTGGGATCTCCGATTCTCATGTGTAAGGTGTGGTTGTATTGCGAAACACGGCTCTGGGGAGACTTATTAGACCTCTATGGTGCTCCTTGATTAGCTTTGTTTGGCAAGAAAGGTGTCGAAGGCTCCATGGAGAGATCTCAAGAACGACCGAGTTAGTGACAGAGTTATTGCTACGAGATTTCCGCTTCTTTTTTTCCTCTTATCCAAGTTTAGAGGCTGGGAGAGTTATTATCCCTCCAACAGCATAACAATAAAATAAAAAAAAATGAAATAGAACCCAACAACATCGAAGGTGCGAAACTCGAGCAAAGCGAGAGGAGCGAAGGAGTCCTCCGGTAAGGATTGAACCGAGTGATTGGGAAGGTTGTTCCAATAGATCTACCCGTACCGGGGGGCTCCTTCTATCAACCAATAAATAGGAAAGGGTTTTAAAGCATAGCAGAAATGCTAAAATCAGTGCGACAGATTTAAAGCCCAACATAAATGTTTAAACGAAGCATTTCAATTAAAGTGTGGTAAATGACATTTTTTCCTTCAAAAAATCACTCTGGTTGCTGGATATTTGAAATTGAGAATTTAAACCCATGAATATCCTTCATATATTTTATAGATTGGGGGATAGTCTAGAACTAAAATAATCAAATATGAAAATTGAAGTATCAAGCACCATAAAGATACTTACAGGAGACTTAGTGAGCTAGCTTATCGTTATGCAAAAGTTATCTGTTTTTTCATATTTTAACTTCGTGTATGTTTTGTAATAAAAAGTATACAACCTATCTGTTTAGTTTAATTAGTCATGTTTCTTGTCTTTGTATAAAGAGACCATGGTTCAAATATTTGTGCTGAGATGAACTATAAATAATAATAATAATAATAATCAGTAAACAACAAGCAAAGAGTTCACAAGCTGCAAAACTAAGTTGTGGGGTCGCCTATGCGTAATGTAAAGAGTCTGGTGATGTATTTTTATACAAAATAAATAATTAATTGTGAAGATAAAAATAACATTTTGACTTCACTGCATTTTTGGGGTGTCCCGGAATTCCTTTGTCGGAGCCATTCCTCGATCCCGGCCGGGCTGACTTTCTTTCCCATTAAAAAAATGATACCGGTGGATTGCATTTGCATGTGATTTAAGCTGGCGCTGAAGCGGCCGGGAGGGAGATCATGTTCATATGGAATCTGCGTGCACCTTTTCCCCATTTGCAACCTTTGATTCGTTTAGAAACCAAGTAAAGTAGCTCTCTGTTTGTTTGCTAAGCAAGCTAGCTAGGTAACTAACAAGTAATAACAACGCTGTTTCTTTTCTGCATTTGTTGTTTTTGTTTTTAATAATATGTGTCAAATCCTTGGAGTTTCTAAAAGCAAGCCTTTGCCTTTTGCTTATCACAGTTACACTCGATCTACAGATCAAGTTACTTGTACTTGTACAGAATCTTGCCAGTTTTCGACCGACTGATGGCACGACGTCGGCTCCTGAAACCATGCCGTTGGTTTTTCCAGTTGCCCTACGTGTTATGACGTTACTCGTGGGTGCAACTACGTGTCCACAAACTGAGCCGCTTATTAATTGTTTAATATTAGTACTGTTGCTGGACTTGCTGTGTCCATAGGCTCAGCAATTCGTTTAAGTTAATTGTTTTATTAAGAGAAGCTAAGCTAGCTATTTATTTCGTCAACACATGCAGAAAATGTGTTGCGTACCCAGGGGCTGTTTGTCGAAAATAATTACCCAAAATTTAAGGTTAATTAAGGTAGCGCAAAAACAATTTACTAGGAAGAAAGAACCTCAGAACTAGATAGCATACATACTCGTGCACAGCAGCATGAGTGAGGCGAGTCACACGATCAACTCAGGTGGTACGTGCGGCACTTTTGTATCAATCAACACGGGCCGTAGTGGACATGGCCATGCGAGCATGATTGTCAAAGGCCTATGCCATTAATTTTTGAGTGCGCAATACTCGAATCTAATATCTCGAGATTACAAACATTTGATGCTATTTTGTTTGGCATAGTTTTTTTTTTTTCGTTGAATGAAAATTACAGCTCTTTTTGTTACCAATTAATTGATTTTTGTAGTAATTATTCCATAGGCATCTATCTTGTCAATGAATTACAAATTATAGTTTACTAAACTAATCTCAAACTAGAAGTAATTAAATTACCATCAAATTGCTAATTCCAACCCAGTATAATAATACAACAATCGAGGACATGCATTAATCCATTTACAGAAGAACAAAATTCTCCCCTCTCTTTCACTCTCCCTAGCTAGCTACCAAAAAACTGTGCACAATAGCAATAGTATTGGTTACATATATAATATATCCTTTTGTAGAAGGTTTGCTTTCTTTTTCCAGCAGTACAATAAGCATTTATTTCTGTAATCCCTTAGGACACTACAAAAAAGGAGAGGTTTAGGGACGACAAAAGTCGTCCCCGAAAATAGGCAAAATCGTCCCCATAATTTTTGGGGACGACTAAGTCGTGCCCTATGTTTCGTCCCTTATACGCTTGTCCTCTATTATTTTGGGGACGACAAAAATCTTGGTCGTCCCCACTACTAGGGACGACAGTTGTCCCCGATACTCACGAGTTGTCATTTTTCATGAAAGACAATATGTCGTCCCTATAGATATAACTTCAGCGACAATAAGTCGTCCCCTAAACATTATTTCGAGGGACACACTATTGTCCTATATAATCAATTTCATGATTGTGTTGGGTCTATATATCGTCCCCTTTTCTGTTTTTAGGTTCGACATTTCGTTCCTATAGGTATCTACATTGAGGCTAAAATTCGTCCCTAAAAGCTTCATTCAAGGACTACTAGTGGTCCTTATACTATATCTCTAGAGACGACAAGTTGTCACTTATGATTTTTAGAGAACGAACAATTGTCTCATAATTGAATTATTTTATGATGATTATTGCACAAACCGTATAAAACTATGCAAATCACCACTTTTGATTCCATTATGACCAAGATCATCAGCGAAAAGTTGAAGTACATACAAGTAGAAATTGTAGTCGAATGAATTACAAATAAACCTACAAAATTGGATGATAAAATAGCTTTAATGGATCAACAGATGGAGATCCACCTTCTTGACTCCTTCTCCCTTTTCACCATCACCAAATCATAGGCAACCGCTAATATTTGAGGTTATGGTGCTCTTGATAGTCATTGTGAGCAGCTAGGAAAAATGAATGTGAATTAGTCAAAGATCTGTTTGTCCAGGCCAGGAAAGAAAATTAAGAAACATAATAGCAGTGACAACTAAGAAACATGATTTTCTACAAAGAAAAGTAAAGAAAGATGATACGTTGACAAAAAAAAAACAATACCCAAATGTTGGGTTGATTCTGTGTTTCTCCAGGGAATTACCATGACCACTTTCATTCCTGCAAGCACCAAAACAAATAAATTGAAGTTTCTTGTATCAAAGGCCAAACAAAAACTTGAAAACTGGGGAAAAGGGCCGGGAGGAGAGATGAAACAATTGAGAAGGAACGACGCTGAAGAGAAGTGAAAAACGAAATTTGTAGTACTACCGGTACTTGATCTTTCTCATTGCAAGGCTGCATCGTAGGGTTTTGAAAAATATATGACGAGACGATGAGATGCAATCAGTTAGGGCTGGGCGGCCGCCTATATGAAAAATATATGAGGATACTGGTAGGGTTTTGAAGTGGAAGAGAAGTAGAGAACAAAAAGCCTTATTTTTCCTTTAACGTATGCCGTTTCCTTTTCTCTTAAAATAACTCTTTATCTCTCCATTCACTCATAATGATAAATCATAAACGTCGCCCATCTTTGATTATTAAATTCTGAAATTCCTTTTATCAATTCTTATCCTTTCCTTATATATGTATAAATGATTGTGATCCTATTTTTTGCGACCAAAATGAAATCCCTCTTAATCCGCTAAAGAAAAACAATTTCCCCCCATTTTCATAATCCCGCTGGAGTATTTTTGGGGATAACTAAACTAACTAAATAAATTGATAAAATTACAGTCCTTATTTTTTGGGGACAATTTCATTTGCTTGTCCCTAATAAAACTTAAAAAACCATTTCCTAAGACAACATAACAAAGTCGTTCCCAATGCTGGTCCCCAAACCTCTTCTTTTTTGTAGTGGGACCAGTACTCTCTCAAGACAAAATAAAATAAAAAGCGTACGGTAAATTAATATTTTTCATCAAATTTGAGAATGTTATCATGTCACGTATACCTCCCAAATGTGGTTTATTCAACAACGAAATCCAGCATTAATAATAATAATAATAATAACAATCACCAAACAATTAATAATCAATAACACGATCACCGCCGAACATCGATGATTCAAGGGTAGTTGCACATGCCGTAGACGCAGAGCTGCGGGCTGGCGCAAGGAGCGTTGCACTTGCCGCAGTGGCGCTTGTCGAGAGATAGATAGACGCACTGGCCGCCGCAGCACTCGTCCTTGAAGGCGCACTTGTTCTTGCAGGCGCCGCAGTTCTGCTTGTCGACGGCGACGTTGATGCACTTGTTGTTGCAGCACTCGAAGTCCTTCCCGTACAGCTCCTGGCACAGCCCCGGTTCCTTGTTGCAGTGGTCCGCCGCCCTAGGGTTCTTGGTCTGCCCGATGCCACCGCCGCCGTTGCCGCTGTTGCCTCCGTACCCCGGGGTTCCGTCGACGGGTGCCTCCTCCTTGAGGAAGCGGCTCAACCTCTGCGACGGCTCGGCGGTAGCAGCCTCCGCGGCTTCGGGCACCTCCTGGTCGACGACGGTTCGCATGGTGAGGGTGACGGAGAGGGCGGTGGCGACGAAGATGAGAAGGATCGTCTTCATTAGAGCGGTGGCCATGGTTGCTCTGACGATGATGAGTTGCTTTCTGTTGTGGAGAAGATTGGGGGGGAGCTGATGGTTTGTGTTGAGAAGGAAATGGAGAGAGTTGGAGTTTGGGGTTTATAGCTGTGGGCGGAGAGTTGACGCGGGGAAGGTGGTGAAACGCGGGAGAGGTACGTAGCACACTTGGGAATGTGGGCTTTTACGATGAGTGTGCTTGATAGTTGGTTATATTTCAAGGGTACGTTTGCTTTGATAGAAATATGCATATGCATATGCATGTCCTTTGGCAAATTAATAGTCAACAAAGACAAGCAAAACTTCTTCTTCATTCTCCCGTTTCGACTCAAAGCGGTAATCGAACATGAATGCATGAGGTTTTACTTTCTGTTGCATAGAAAGCGCTTTTACATTTTATGATGACAAGGGGTGACGAATAGGGACCAGATTAGGTGATGAAGAGGTTTGTTCACTTCATTAAGTTCATCTCAATCATACATGGTATTTTTAATTTGATGAAAACTTGTTGTGATTAATGCATTTTATATTTTTTTGGACAATATATTAAAATTTTCTATTAAAAAATAAAACAATTATGTCATTGAGAGGCGCAGATCGTACTTTTTGTGAGAGGATCGAGCGACGCAACAGAAGGAGGAGAACGACGATGATCCACCATAGTCGATGTCAAATTAAAGGAGGGAGAGGAGAAAGGGAGAGCATGTCATTTTATTTCTCCATTCCTCTAGAACAGAGAGAGACGACAACAGATTGTCGTCGATGGTTTTAGTGAATGCCCAGTGGAGAGAGAGGGGAAAACAACGGTTGTTTTGTAATATAAGTCATGTTCATTCATGTTAGGGTTAATATATTTGTATTGAATGAACTTTGACCAAAATAAACATTCTGGCCAATTTTTTCGATCTATAACATCCTGGCTCAAACAATACATCAAAATAGCGAAATTGACCAAACCAAATGTTTGACCGTTAACTTGGACGGACAAACACATTGACAGATGGTCAATGGGCCACGTCACTTCCAACTCAGCAATTTTCAATTTAAAAAATTTATAATTTCCACCTATTATCATTTTCCTGTTTTAAGTACTTTGAACAAACAAAAAATGCGTTTAGTTTTCGGGACCAGTTGCTTACCCTACCGCCCACGATTCTGCTCTCCTGCCTCACTCCCTCTCCTTCCTCTCCGCAGTCAAGCCTTCCCTCCCTTCCGCCAGAGCAACCACCACCATCTCAACTACCCAATTTCTGTTCATCGATTCTCTTCATCCAAATTGCTCCACCTACCACTGAGTCATTTCATTCGGCGATTGGCTCCACGTCAGTCCCCTGCAATCCGATTTGGGGAATTTTATGAGCGTCGTCTGGTCCCTGTTCCTCGCCATCGTTGAATATTGCGAGCTTGAGGGCTACGCCACCCTCTCTGACTTCTCTCTTCCTCGACTGCTAGTGAAATTGCAGCAGCGCCTAGCTGCAAATAAGCTTCTTCTAGTTTGGGCAGAGTGTCAAGATCGGAGATCCAGATCTGGATCTGTCACGAAGAAGGCCGACAGAAGGAGACATGCTTTGCTGGATCTGAAAGTCCCCGCTTTCTCGTCGCTTTTAGCTGCCACCGTGAAAAGACCGCGCTCTCGTCGTTGCGCAAGTCTGAGTCAGCGGGGGAGAGTTCTCAACGGGAATCTACTGTTGCATTTGGCTTGTTGGGGGGATGGGATTTAGGGTTTGGCTTGGGGATTTTTTTGTGTGGAAGGATTACGGTGGCGGCGGCGGCAATCTTAGAGGAACGCCTGCCGCTGCATTTTTGACGGACGAGGGAGAAAAGTCGGCGGCGGCGAGAAGGAAGGTGAGAGTGAGGGGATGCAGGGTTTTCGCGAAATTCATTTTTCAATTTTTTTTATTCAAAATGGAAAAAATAAATAGTAATAGGTGGAACATATACAATTTTTAAGGAAAGGGTGTTGACTTGGCAATGACGTGACGCATTGACCGTTAGTCAACGCATTTGACCGTCCAAGCTAACGGTCAAACATCGGGTTTGATCAATTTCGTTATTTTGATGTATAGTTTGGGCAATGATGTTATAGATTGAAAAGATTGGCCATGGTGTTTATTTTGGTCAAAGTTTAGGTCATACGAATATATTACTTCATGTTATTAGTACTTTGTAATGTAAATTAGTCTGATTTGTTATGTTAAGTCATTTTGCTTTGTGGTGCTTGTTTGTATTTGTAATAGCAAAAGAGTATAGTTTGTAATGAAAGTGATGTTAGTATGTGTAATGGAAGTAATGTTGTTTGTAATGTAAGTAATGCTGATTTGTATGGAAAGTCTTGCCAACTTGTATTGGGCAACCTAATTTGTATTATAGTTTTTTTTTTATGTATTGCACGCTTTTTATATGATTTTTATATTATGTACTTCTATTTAGTTTGTATATAAGGTATTATCAATTTGTACTTTTACCAAACTTACATATCTTGTAATATTAGTTTGTATACTTTGTAACATTAATTTTAGACTACGAACAAGGGTTTGGTCTAGTGGTAATACCACTAGCTTTGAACCTAGAGGACCCAGGTTCAAATCCCTTCAGTAGTACCTCCCTAATCACAAAAAGTAAACCTATATCACCCTTATCTAAAAAAAAAAAAAACATTAATTTTAGACTAATACTACTAAAACATCCCCAACTATAAAAAAAATGTCACTTGTGTCATATTTTGTTCAATATGACAATCCAAGCTAGAACGACGTACGATACTTTTATGACATTTGTATCCCGACGTTTTTGTTGACCGTTAGATAACGGTTGGTCTAGGGATATTGACGTAACAAATTAGTAGCAGGCACATAGACGCCACATCATACTTTTATTTCAAAATTAAATCAAACTAAAAATTAAATTTTTTGGAAAAAGTTAAAAAAGGCACACAAAACCAAGAAGAATTCCAGGAAGCAGAAGAAGAGGAAGTGAAGGAGAAGTGATGCTGCAATCCTGATTGCAGATGGATTGAAGATGAGAAAGGAAAGAAGAAGAGGATGCGACGTCGGATTGCTGTCTCATGAAGAAGAAAGAAAGGAGAACGACGTCGTAGCCATTAGTAGCTGTTAGCCGTTAATTATTACTATTTGTTTAAATTTTCAGCCTGTTATTTTGAGACACCTGTCGTTGTTCTGTTAATGACGTTGCTATCTATAAAAGAAGAAGGGAAGACTCAGAATAGTTGAGCTTCCTCTCCACAAATCACTAGCAAATTGTTATGGTATCAGAGCTCACCGAGCTCTAGGGTTTTCCGCAGCCTTTGACACAATGTCGGGAGCACAGACTCCACCCAACACACCGCCGAACAATGGTACCGGTGGAACAGGATCATCGAGGACGACAGGAGCAGCAGGTTTTCGATTTAGGACTTTCAACCAAAACCAGCTACAAACAGAGACAGTTGTTTTTGGTAACCCTTACTATCTCAACCCTAATGAGAATATGTCTCAATCTCTTGTTGCTGAGCCATTTGATGGAACGAACTATGTGATGTGGAGTAGATCTATTCAAGTAGTGTTGAAAACGAAGAACAAGATGGGTTTATAGATGGGTCAATTCCAATTCCTCCTAGAGATGCAGATCTGTTTAATCTGTGGGATGCTTGCAACACAGTGGTTCTTTGCTGGATACAGAACTCAATGATTAAAGAAATTAGGAGGTCTGTTCTGAATCACACAAATGCTAAGACACTTTGGGAAGAATTGAAAAGACATTTTGGTCAACCAAATGCCCCGAGAATCATAAACCTGGAAGATGAAATACAAGCGTGTAAGCAGGGTACCAAGTCTATTAGTCAGTATTATACAGCTATTAAGGGACTTTGGGACGAGTATGTGGAATTCAACCTAATCATTCCATGTACTTGTGCTCGTGGTAACCCTATGCCCTGTGCAGCTGTAGCTGCTTTTGTGCAAAAGCAGGAGATTGACTACTTGGTGCATTTCCTGAGAGGACTCAACCCTGAATATGAGGTGATTAAGACACAGTTGCTTCTGCAGAAGCCACTGCCTACTGTCTCTACAGCAGTGGATGATCTGCTTCAACATGAGCAGAAGTTGAAGGCAGACAATGTCATGGCAGGAAAGAAGGGACAAAGCCTCGCCTTGGCAGTAGGAAGTAACAACTCAAGGGAGAGTACAGAATCAAGGGGTAATAAGTTTTGTCGATTTTGCAAAATGAACAATCACAACATAGAGGATTGTTGGAAACTGAAGAGAAAGCAGGACATGCAGAAAGATGGAAGTGGTAATGGTGGTTATGGGAATGGAGGTTCTTCTTCTAGTTCTGGATCTAGTTCTAGTACACCTAGATTTGCTGGTTCCATTACACAGGGCAGTGGGAGTGAAAGTGCATCAGAAGGCAGTGTTGTTAATGAAGGTAAAACTTCACCTCCATCTGGTTTCACACCAGAAGAAATGACTCGCCTAAGGTATTTGCTACAAGCTGGTGCTAACAACCAACCCTCACCACCCAGTTCCCCATCCATCAACCACCATGCCTACTCAGCCAGACAATACCCCACTACATCATTTCCTTCTTTCTCAGGTAAATATGTTCTGTCCTCCTCACCAAACTGCAAAACTCAGGATCTCACTTTATGGATAGTGGATACAGGAGCATCTGATCATATAGCCTGTAATCTTAATCTCTTTTCCTCTTACAAACCAGTCCAGAATGCTTTTGTTTACCTGCCAAATAGAACCAAAGTTGCAGTCACCTGTGTAGGAACAGTCAAACTAGATTGTGGTCTGACCTTACATAATGTCCTTCTGGTGCCACAATATTCTTTCAATCTGATATCAGTTAGCAAACTTACCCTTGATAATCCCTATTCCTTATTTTTTCATTCTGATAAATGTGAAATCCAGGACCTCTTAAACCAGAAGAGGATTGGTTTAGCCCACACAACTAAAGGCCTCTACCAACTTGCCCTACCTACAAGACAGTACAAGCCTACTTCACCAGATCATCACCACCAAGCAGCCATCACCTTCAACTTTCATCCACAAGACCTGAACCTGTGGCACTGGAGATTAGGACACCCTAGCCATGATAGACAATCTTTGCTTAGTTCTGTAATACCCTCCATTTCAAACACTAAAACTAGTCATTGTGAGGTTTGTCACTTGTCTAAACAAAGAAAACTACCTTTCCATGTTAGCACCAGTGTAGCACCTAAGGCTTTTCATTTGGTTCATATGGATATTTGGGGTCCTTTATCTACATTGTCTTATGATGGTTTCTCCTACTTTCTGACTGTTGTGGATGACTTCTCTAGATGTGTGTGGGTGTTTTTGATGAAACATAAAAGTGAAGTAAGAGGTTTAATACAGGGTTTTTGCAATCTGGTTAAGAATCAATTTCACACCTCTGTCAAAGTAATCAGAATAGATCAGGGCAAGGAATTTGAAATGTGTGATTACTTCAGCACAGAGGGTATTGAACATCAAGTCTCCTGTGTTGAGACCCCTGAACAGAATGGAAGAGTGGAGAGAAAGCATCAGCACATTTTAAATGTTGCTAGATGCCTGAAATTTCAATCTGGTTTGCCTCTTAGTTATTGGAGTGACTTTATATTACATGCTGTTTATCTAATAAATCGCATGCCTACACCAGTTCTATAGAACAAGACCCCCTATGAAGTTTTATACAAACAGGTACCATTCTTAGGGCACTTGAAGGTTTTTGGATGCTTGTGCTATGCAAACACCTTGGTTCATGGCAGAACCAAGTTTGCACCAAGAGCCAAGCAGTGTGTATTCATTGGAATCCCTTCAGGCCTCAAAGGGTACAAAGCAAGTTCAATGACTTTCACTTGGATCCCTCGTTGAAATTTGGAGCTTTTGGTAAAGGCAAAGAAGCACAAACATGTACCAGGTACCCCATTTGCCTCAATGTTGATTCTTTGAACAAAGAGGATCAATGTTATGTCTTGAGTGTCTTAAACCATGTTGAACCTAGATCATATTATGAGGCCATCAAATCAGACATATGGAATAGAGCAATTAAAGAAGAAATGCATGCTCTAGAAGAAAATCAGACTTGTGATATAGTACCATTACCTGATGGTGTGAAAGAAATAGGAAACAAGTGGGTTTATAAGATTAAACTTAACCCAGATGGATCATTGGAGAGAAACAAGGCAAGACTGGTTGCCAGAGGGTACACACAGATCTATGGAATTGATTTCCTAGACACCTACTCACCTGTAGCTAAAATCAACACAGTCAAAACTTTTCTAGCAGTGGCAAGTGTTAAGCATTGGATTCTGGAACAGTTGGATGTTTCTAATGCGTTTCTACATGGAGAATTAGATGAGGTAGTTTACATGAAACTGCCATTGGGATTGGAAGTACCTGCAGGGAGCACACAGAAGATGACTTGCAGATTGAAGAAGTCATTATATGGCCTTAAACAGGCATCTAGGCAATGGTTTGCTAGGCTGACTGGTTTCCTGCTTAAATTTGGATTCTCACAGTCAGCATCAGAGTATTCACTTTTTACTAAATGGACTCATGGCAGGATCACAGTGTTACTTGTGTATGTAGATGATATCATTCTGGGGGGAGACTCCAATAGACACCAAGGTAAAACTGACAGCTAAAGGTATTGTACTGGGAGATGCAGAAGGTTACAGAAGACTGGTAGGTAGGCTACACTACTTGACCATCACAAGGCCAGACATTGCCTTTGCTGTACAGCAGTTATGCCAATACCAAAAGACTCCGTGTGAGGAACATATGCAGGCAGCACACAGGGTGCTGAGGTATCTTAAATCATCACCAGATCAGGGGATTCACTTTAGCAATGAAGCAGATCTCAAACTGACAGGCTATTGTGATTCAGACTGGGCAAGTTGGCTTGGCACACGAAGGTCAATTACTGGGTATTGTACAAAGCTTGGTTCATCCTTGGTTACTTGGAAGAGTAAGAAGCAGACCACAGTCTCGAGATCATCATCAGAAGCAGAATACAGGGCTTTAGCACACCTGGTGTGTGAGATTGAATGGTTGAAGAGGCTGTTGGCAGAACTGACTGTGGAAGTTCCATTGCCCATTGTTGTCCACTGTGACAATAGGTCTGCTATTCATATAGCAGAGAACCCAGTGTTCCATGAGAGAACAAAGCATATCGAAATAGATATGCATGTCACAAGAGAAAGAGTGAAGCTTGGTTTGATTAAGTTGGAATATGTTAACACTGTTGAGCAGGTTGCAGACATTTTCACTAAAGGACTTGATCGTTTCAGACTCAAAGAACTGCTGGTCAAGTTGGGGATCAAGTTGATGCCGCCAACTTGAGGGGGGATGACAGAACCAAGAAGAATTCCAGGAAGCAGAAGAAGAGGAAGTGAATGAGAAGTGATGCTGCAATCCTGATTGCAGATGGATTGAAGATGAGAAAGGAAAGAAGAAGAGGATGCGACGTTGGATTGCTGTCTCGTGAAGAAGAAAGAAAGGAGAACGACGTCGTAGCCATTAGTAGCTGTTAGCCGTTAATTATTACTGTTTGTTTAAATTTTCAGCCTGTTATTTTGAGACACCTGTCGTTGTTCTGTTAATGACGTTGCTATCAATAAAAGAAGAAGGGAAGACTCAGAATAGTTGAGCTTCCTCTCTACAAATCACTAGCGAATTGTTACCTCTCCCCTGTTTTCTCCCCTCGAGCTTCAAGAACTGCCTCTTGGCATCACTAATTTGATCGACAACGAGCGAAGGGCCCGTCCGAAGCCGCTCCATTCCTCTCCGCCACATTGATTTGTGTCATGAATGGCTCTAGCCTCCATAGCTCGCCAAACATAGTAGCTAGTCGGAAGAAACCGAAAAAAAACCTAGCTATCTTCAGAAAACAACGATGAAGAAGTAAAGTTGGGTTAGAAGTAGAGAGAGTGGAGAGTTCGAATCAGAGAGATCACACTCACTTCTCTCGGCATAGCACATAAGATGGCACTTGACAGTTATATGAAACAGAAGTGATAGGTATAGCGAGGGTACCAACCTGGTAGATTGTCGGAGCGACTAGGGATTTGGGTTTTCTTAGAGGATTGGGGGTTTTGTTTTTTTCATTTCAAGATAATATTTTTTAAAATTTTATATAATATGTGAAGAATAATTCCACTTCACTGCTACATCAGCGCTTTTAAACCTAGTCAACTGACATATCAGCTGTCAACTTCTTTAACTAGACATCCAATAAATTTTCTTTGGCTCTTCTCGCCCTGACTGATTTATGAAATTAAAATAAGTATTGGCATCACAATCTTTTTCCTACAGGATTGTTGACTTTTGCATATAAAAATTATCTTCAACACCTTGCACCTCTATCTATACCCACATTGCCTTCACTTTGATCATACAAAGTTGTCCTCTCAGCAAATGCAAGCTCTTTTTCTAACTCTAATATGATTGAAAATGTCAAAACAATAAGCATGATTTATTCCTTTTAGACCCTTTTTGGTACTTATGAAGTCTTTCATAGAAAACTTTAAAAATGTCCTTTCATTATCATTTGGAAAAAATCTCAGAAGTAATTTCAATCATAAATATTGAAAACTAGCTACAAGAATTTCGATTGTAATAAGAAATTATGTTCAACATAATTGCTTAGCTTAAAGTCATTCTAGCTCCCTTAATCGAAAAGAGCTTCTCTAGCTAGGTTGTCACTAGCGATGTCAAAAATCAAATTATGATACAATGTCTTTGGATACATATCAAACGCATCTAATAATAAATTTTTATGACATTTTTATATTGAAATTATATACCAAATTATATGATCAAATATTTCGACAAATATTAGTTACATACGTACAAAGTATTTATGACGACATTTTTCGACCAAAAAGAATAGTTATGACATTTCAATAGTGTAATCATTTTCTGTTAATATATAGTTGTGTAAATCGATCGATGGAGAGCTTCATTCAAGTGTAGTTGCACATCCCGTAGACGCAGAGCTGCGGGGCGGCGCAAGGAGCATTGCACTTGCCGCAGTGGCGCTTGTCGAGAGAGAGGTAGACGCACTGCCCATTGCAGCACTCGTCCTTGAAGGCGCACTTGTTCTTGCACCCGCCGCAGTTCTGCTTGTCGGCGGTGACGTCGATGCACTTGTTGTTGCAGCACTCGAAGCCCTTCCCGTACAGCGACTGGCACAGCCCCGGGTCCTTGTTGCAGTGGTCCGCCGCCCTCGGGTTCTTGCTCGTCCCGATGCCTCCGACGCCGTTGCCGCTGTTGCCTCCGTACCCTGGGGTTCCGTCGACGGTGGTCTCGTCTTTGAGGAAGCGGCTCAGCCTCTGGGACGGCTTGGTAGTAGTAGCAGCAGCCTCTGTTGCCGTGGTGGCTACGACGAATATGAGCATGATCGTCTTCATCAGAAAGGTCGCCATGGTGGGATATATAGCTAGCAGTCGTACGTATTGATGAGAATGCTATGAAGTTGATGATCGAGTTGATAGGTGTTGCCTTTTGGTTTGTGTTGAGAAGGAAATGGAGTTGGAGTTTGGATTTATAGCTAAGGCCTAAGGCGTTGACGCGGGGAAAGTGGGGAAAGGCGGCGAGGTACGTAGCACTTGGGAGGCTTCTTTCCCTAAGTTAATGGTGAACAAAGACAAGCAACGTCTTCCTTTCCATTACTCACGGAAGGGCATGCAAGGGCTAATGTTTGCTTTACTCTTGGTCGAATGTTTCATTTCCAGTTGACTTCATGGGGCAAATCAAAACTGGCGGTAGAGAAAGATTGAAAACTAAACATCCAACTAAGAGTAAATTCACTAACGTTGGGATGGTGAGAAGAGATATAATTTACATTTCACAGGGGTTATAACATGGAGATTGAGTATTATTTCTGATACAAAAGTTCTTATAAAAATGGGAAATGACCTACTTATAAGTGCGGTTTGAACTATTGATTTACGTAATTGGAATTAACCAATTAGGTTTACGGCGAAACCTGCAAATCAATTGTTGGAAATGTGTATGAATAGCTTTGAAAGCTATAGAGTCTCAAGTGGAAAAACTACCACATTGGTAGTTTTACTTGGTGAAGTGATTATAAAGATAGGAGCCTCTCTCCTAAGGGCATTGCCCCTTGGGGTGACCCACTTTTGTGGGAGAGGGAGGACCTAACGGACCACCACACACGCGCGCGCCGACCGGTCGGTCGGTCGGTCGGTTGGATGGATGGATGGATGGATCACTTGAGACTATATACATATTTTTTGGAGAAATTCCGAACGAAATTAATTATTAATCGGTTACTCTGAGGAATAATTATCTTCCTTAATTACATATTTTTTGGAGAAATTCCGAACGAAATTAATTATTAGTCTGCCGTGCGCATCGAGGGCAGTGCCGCGAACGTCTTAAAGAAAGCGACCTAGTCCGCGACTCAGCTCCAGATTCGGTATCCTCATCTTGTTGTTGTTCCGTTTCTAACAATTTTAAGACGTTCGGCTGCTGCTATGTCGACTGAACAGAACAACATGGCCGGATCTGGTGCTGTCGATATCAATCGACCGTTTCGCTTCGTTGGAGTCAACTTTCGTCGCTGGAAACAAAAGATGGAGTTTTACCTGACGACCAAGAAGTTGGCACATTGCCTCACTAGCATGCCCGTCGAGCTGCCGGAAGAAGCGACCGATGAGGAGAGGACTGCTGCTGCTAAGGAAAGGGAGCATGACTTCCTATGCAAGGGCTACATCCTCAACGGCCTGGCAGACGACCTCTACGACTACTATGCGGACAGCAAGAACACCGCAATGATGGTCTGGGATGCGCTCCAAAAGAAGTACGACACGGAGGAGGCTGGAGCTAAGAAGTATGCTGTCAGCCGCTACCTGCGCTATCAGATGGTGGATGACAAGTCTGTCGAAGTTCAGTCCCACGAACTTCAGAAAATAGCTCACGAGATCGTCTCTGAAGGTATGCCTCTGGACGATCAATTTCAAGTTGCTTGCATTATTGATAAGCTGCCCCCTTCGTGGAAAGATTTTAAGAATATGCTTAGACATAAAACCAAAGAATTTTCACTGGAAAGTTTGATTACTCGCCTAAGGATTGAGGAAGAGTCCCGCAAGCAGGATATGAAAGAAGAGGTGATGGTCGTCACTGCTAAACGACCCACCCCTAGAGCTCTTAAACCTAACCAGAAAGGGTTTAAGGGTAAGAACCAGCAGGTCCGCCCCCACCAGAATGGTGCCTCTCGAGGTAACCAAAGGGTCATGGCCCAAACCTCTAAGAATGACCCACCGTTTATCTGCTTTAACTGCGGAAAACCGGGTCATATGGCAAAAAAGTGCAGGAACAAGCATAACCCCGCCGCTGCGGCCAGGGTTAACTTGACAGAAGAGGATTTGGTAGCCATGATCACAGATATGATTGCTGAAGTTAACCTCACCGGTGACTCAGAAGGATGGTGGCTGGATACAGGTGCATCGAAGCATGTATGCAACAATCGTGCTATGTTTAAAACATACGAAGAAGCACCTGCTGACAAGAAAGTGTTGTTGGGGACTACTCACACCACTATGGTTGCTGGTTCTGGTGAAGTGGAGCTGAACTTCACCTCTGGGAAGAAGATGGTGCTTAAGGATGTGTTGCACACTCCAGAGATAAGGAAGAATCTTGTTTCGGGATATCTTCTTAATAAGGCTGGGTTTAATCAATCTATTGGGGCAGACTTGTATACCCTTACTAAGAATGGGAGTTTTGTGGGAAAGGGATATGCATGTAATGGGATGTTCAAATTGAATGTCGAAATTAATAAGATGAATTCTTCAGTTTACATGGTGTGTGATTTGAATGTTTGGCATGCTCGTCTTTGTCATGTGAACACACGAATTGTGAAGAATTTAAGCAAGCTAGGGCATATCCCTAAACTCTCAATGAATGAATTTGATAAATGTGATTTCTGTAGCCAAGCTAAAATAACGAAAACGCCCCATAAATCTGTGAGTAGAGAATCAGAACCCTTAGATCTGATTCATTCTGATATTTGTGAACTAGATGGGACGTTAACTAGGTCTGGCAAGAGATACTTTATCACTTTCATAGACGATTGCTCTGATTATTGCTTTGTTTATTTGATGAAAAACAAAAGTGAAGCCCTTGACATGTTCAAGGTATTTGTGGTTGAATTCGAAAATCAGTGCAATCGAAAGATAAAAAGACTTAGGAGCGATAGAGGATCAGAGTATGACTCTAATCCCTTCAAGGAATTCTATAGCTCACATGGTATCATTCATGAAACCACGGCACCATATTCACCAGAGATGAATGGTAAAGCTGAGCGGAAAAATAGGACATTTACAGAATTAGTTGTGGCTATTATGCTCAATTCTGGAGCTGCTTCTTCTTGGTGGGGTGATATTTTGTTGACGGTTTGCTATGTGCTAAATCGTCTTCCAAAAACAAATAGAAAAGAATCACCCTATGAGATCTTGAAGAATAAGCCACCTAATCTGTCCTATTTAAGAACGTGGGGTTGTTTGGCCTACGTAAGAATTCCTGATCCTAAGAGGGTTAAGTTGGCTAGTCGAGCATATGAATGTGTCTTCGTTGGCTATGCGGCCAATAGTAAGGCATATAGATTCTATGATTTGAATGCTCGTACAGTAATAGAATCCATTGATGCTGATTTCTTTGAGACACGATTTCCATTTAAAACGAGAAATAGTGGGGGTAATGTACTACCCGCTATTAGAGATAACGGAACAAGTGGGGGTGTTGGATCTGAGGATGAACTCAGAAGAAGTAAAAGAGCTAGAATCTCTAAAGATTTTGGTGATGACTTTACTACAGTATACACCCTAGAGGATCCAAAAAGTTTGCAGGAAGCACTAACTTCCATAGATGCAGACTTTTGGAATGAGGCCGTTATAGATGAAATGGAATCGTTAGAGGCTAATAAGACTTGGCATCTAACAGACTTACCTCCTGGCTGCAAAGTCTTAGGTAATAAATGGGTTCTAAAAACGAAACGGAAACCTGATGGTGCAATCGAAAGGTTCCGAGCTCGCCTAGTAGTCAAGGGCTACAGGCAGAGAGAGAATATAGATTTCTTCGACACCTATTCACCAGTATCTAGAATAACATCCATTCGTGTCATGATTGCTCTTGCTGCCTTGAACAATCTCGTGGTACACCAAATGGATGTTAAGACTGCTTTTTTGAACGGTGATCTAGATGAAGAAATCTATATGGAACAACCAGAAGGGTTTGTTATCCCTGAACATGCCTCGAAAGTCTGTAAGTTGGACAAATCACTATATGGTTTGAAACAGGCTCCAAAGCAGTGGCATGAGAAGTTTGACACTCTCGTTCTCTCACATGGCTTTAAGGTGAATGAAAGTGACAAGTGTATTTACTGCAAGACAGAGAATAGCACTTGCACTATCATATGTTTGTATGTAGATGACATGTTGATATTTGGTACAAATATTCACGTGGTCAATGAAGCGAAAGCCATGTTAAAAGAGAGCTTTGAGGTGAAAGATCTGGGAGAAGCAAAGTTTATGCTTGGAATCCAGATAACTAGAACAGCAAATGGTTATTCTCTAGATCAATCTAGTTACATAGAGAAGATCTTGAAGAAGTATAACTATTTCGACTGTAAACCTGCGTGTACTCCGTATGATGCTAGTGTAAAGCTATTCAAGAACACTGGAGACAGTGTAAGACAAACAGAATATGCTAGCATCATTGGCAGTCTCCGTTATGCTGCGGATTACACTCGACCAGACATTGCATATGTCGTGGGATTGCTTGGCAGGTTTAACAGCTGTCCTAGTAGAGAGCATTGGAATGCTATAGAGAGGGTCATGAGATACCTCAAGAGAACAGCAAACCTTGGTATACACTATCAAAGGTTTCCCGCTGTACTAGAAGGGTATAGTGATGCGGATTGGAATACCCTATCAGATGACTCCAAGGCAACCAGCGGATATGTTTTTAACATCGCTGGTGGAGCTGTGTCTTGGAAGTCAAAGAAACAAACAATCCTAGCTCAATCAACTATGGAATCAGAGATGATAGCACTAGCAACGGCTAGTGAAGAAGCAAGTTGGTTGAGAGGATTGTTGTCAGAGATTCCCCTATGGGAAAGCCCGGTCCCTCCGGTATTGATACATTGTGATAGTACCGCAGCTATCGCTAAAGTTGAGAACCGGTTCTATAACGGAAAGAAACGACAGATTCGTCGTAAGCACAGTACTGTTAGAGAACTCCTAACGATAGGAGCAGTGAGGGTGGATCATATAAGATCCGAACAGAATCTAGCTGATCCTTTGACGAAAGGATTACCTAGAGAGAAAGTCCAGAATACCGCCAAGGGTATGGGACTTATGCCTACCGAACCACGGAC